AGGGCCCTTTCAATAATAGGGGCAGGAATAATAGTCAACGTGCTTGGGAGCCATCCACTCAACAACTATGGCCATAGAATTTCTAGGGGCCCATAGAATTGTAGGGCGAGCCCGCTATAGAATTGATAGGGCCGCCATAGAATTGATAGGGCCGCATCAGCTTGCTAGCAATAATATGCCCCAACGCCCAACTGATCGAAGGATCAGAGAAGGCCCCCCCCCTATCCTATCCTATCCTATAAATTATAGGCGGCTCTATGGGCAGTTTACTCACAACCTACCCTACTCAACCACAGGATGCAAGGAAGGAGCCAAGGATTTACCAAGGCCCTTTTTTATATATGCGGGAACGAAGCACACCAAGCATTGATCGATGGAAGCATGGATGGAAAGAAGGAATCTTGCTCTTCCGTAAGCCTCTATTCGGATCGGCGGCTACGAAAGAAATAAGCTGGGCGGCCCCTATATATTTGAGTTCGGGTAGGATAAACTGGGAAGTCTTAATAGTGAAAGGCCACCTTCGAACTATATAAAAAAGGGCGAATAGTAGGGCTCACCCTGCATGCCTACCGGAATGATAAATAGTAGGGGGTATGCATGCAGGGGGTAGGGCATTCAGATGAGGTATAACCCGGGGAACTATGATTCTGCAGGGTGGGAAACTATAGTTCCGGAGATAGGTTGCCCGGCGGGTGGTGCAGGGGGCCCCTACTATTCTATGGTAGGGAGGAACCTCTCCCTATAGACAGTAGGCGAATTGATACGATATCCTCTTCTTCCTAGAAGAAAGGGTATTGATTACTGGGGGTCTGCATAATGAGCATAGATGCTCCTCCTTCCCCTCCCGTAACAATTAGTATGGATCCTCCGCCCTATTATTAGATTATTCGTCCAATAACTCTAGATACTCCTCTCATTTGGGCAGGAGGAGTAAAGGTTCTAATGTATCCTATCCCCCTGGCAGCCTTTATATCATCGGCGGAGTCAGGGTTAACGAATTCAAATGTGGTGTGGACCGGGTGTGGGTGGGAATAGAACTCCGGTATAGGGGATTCGTTTGACCAACCAGCATCAAAGATGGGTGTAGAAGTGAAAGCAAAGGCGACAGCCCTACAATTTGATGGGCGCAGAGCTACCGGTAGCAGATCCCAAGGAGTTCATAGTTTCAGAGTAAGTAGACGGGGTTGGTGATCCAGTAGCTAGGGTGGATTAATAACCCAGTAAAGAAGCAGTTGCCTGCCTATATATATACAAATAGTAGGGGCCCTTTTTTTATATAATTGAAACAGATTCCCCGGGCCGGGAATAAAGCACCTGCCCCAGAGCCTGTTGATCGAGATCGAGATCCAGAGCCCTTAGTGATGCACATGCAGAGTCCCCAGTAGCTTCACCGATCGCCCTACTATGGCAAAGGGTACCCGCCAGAAGCAGCATAGACAGTTTACTGAGTGGACCTAACAGACCGTGAACGTGAACCAGTCACAGTCCCACCGCCCCTATCAAATTGTAGGGCGGAGGCATCTAAGCAAGCAGCATGAGCATTTTTCCGAGTCAGCAGCCTGCATCTGTACCAGTAGCCTATAGATAGTAAGGGCAAGCCGCCTTTATAATATAGGGCGCCCATAGCCCCCCTGGCGAATAGTAGGGTTCTAAGGGCCCTTTTTTTCTATTGTTGCCGCAGTTTACTCTTTTAGATCGAGTAGCAGATACAGTTGATTAATCAGTTGATCCTTTTGGTCCATAGCTATCAGATCTAGTCCCAGATTCATAAGATCCTATAGTTGCAGATGCCCTATAAGTTGTAAGGGGCAGAGTAAAGGGCAAATTATGAACCAGTATCGGTATTAGCAGCTAAGGCCCGCCATCGAGCGGCATCAGCGCGAATAGTTGACCTTGAATCATTCAATGTATCAGCACTAGAACCAACATCCTGCTGCGTCATCACTTCGAAACCCATAACCCAACTATAGAATAGAAGGCTCAGAACCATCAATAACAAAGGCAGGGAAGCAAGCATCAAAGCATGCCCCATAGCCCTATATTAGAAAGGGGAGGGCTCGGGATCGAGACCTAGACCTTTCTATTTTGGTTGCGAGCCCCCTACTATTCTATGGGGCCCCCTTGCCGAATAGTAGGGCCCTTGCCGAATAGTAGGGCTGCGTCACCTATGTTGCCTTCTGGATGCGTGCCTTTAGAATAGTAGGGGGTAACTGGCTGGTCTAGTTACTCTTGCGCCTTCATCTCCGGGTTGCTACTGATGTCAACCTTTGCATGCACCCCTACGGGCAGTGCCTTAAGTTACCATTGACGTCAGCCTGATTTCGTACGCCTACAAAGGTTGATTCTCCCCACGAAGCTCCGTATCTGCTTCTGACTTGGCCCGGGGATGCGGATGCCTACAATTCTATGCCAGGGGGGACTGGATCGACGGGTTATCGATCTGCCTTTGCCTCTACGGCCTATGCCTTCACCCAGGGATGCTGTAACAAGATATCGATCCGGAAGAGTCGTTCTTACTGGCTCCCAAACTCGAAATGGAACCGGAGCGGGTTATGGATCTCAATAGGAAATGGCCCCGGCCCTACGGGGATTTCTAAAGCTAGCATGATTTCTATGCCCAGAAAAAAAGAGTAGAGCTTAGCGGGAATCAGACAGGTCATTCACGACTGAATATAATAATAACTGAGGTGACTGGACTAAATAAAGAACTGGAACCGGACTCCATCTGAACTATAGACTGGAAGGAATACTGGCTCTCTATGCAGATGCAGGATGAGGATGGTTGTGGGTGGGAGCCCGAATAATAGAATAATAGGGACCCTTACCTTAAAATAGTGGGGGTGGGGGTGGGGGTGGGGCTCCTGGTGCTGCCTTTGTTTGGTCAACGGGATCTGGAACTGGTTCATATGTTGCTGACTAAGATGCTAGCTATCTGGCTGCCTCCTCTCCTACGCTCTCTACCTCTATCTTTGATGCCGAAGGCTTTCAATTGATAGGGCGTGCCCTACTATTCTATTGCGTTGTGTTCCTACAAATCAATTATACAGAGGCAAAGAAAACAGAGACAGAGGTCTTTATAATATAGGGGCATTCCGCCTAATTAGTGTTTCTACCATTCATCCAGATCCATATAGGAAAGATCCGCTTCCAGGTTCAGTTTATCCTAGGTTTATGGCCTTGCACTGATTAGTGAGATCCAATGTTGGACCACTGAACAATTATGCTACTTAACGAAGAATCTGCCCCCGGGCGCCCCTACTATTGCCCTTTTTTTATATATGCGCCCGGCCGGATAACCGTAGTCCTAATTTGGTTAGGGGTTTCACCGCTAATCGGATGCCATCCAGCTATTCTGCCGCCCGTAGGGGTCCTCTTTACTCCAATAGGGTTCCACCTACTCAGGAAAGGGGGTTAAGCTTCTTTCATTCGTCCATCCACCACGAATCCGAAAGCAAATAAATAGTAGGGTTGCCCCTTAGAAATAGTAGGCAGATGCAGGCGGCTGACTTGGCTGTAGCTGGGATTTCTGGTGGCTAGTTTCCTTGCGTGCTTGCCCTACTATCCATAGTTGCGAGCCCTTACTTTCAAGAGGGTCCCTTACTTTCCCTTATAAATAGTAGGGCCCGGGCAGTAGGGAAAATGGATCATTACTCCTCGATCGGGAAGGCCAAAGAGGGGGTCTCTTCACGTGCATGCAAAGGATGGACAAAGCAGGCCGGAATCCTTGATTACGGGTTTCCCTTGAGAATGTTATTGTGCTTTCCCAACTCCCGGGAGCAGCAACTAGAGTTGTGATCCAGGGCTTCCCACCCGCCGCCCCTACTATTATAAAGGGGCCCCGGGCCCTACTATTAAAGGGGGAGGAGAAGACTTTATTGCCATAGAATTTGAGCCCTACTATGGAACAGGGCCCCCCCCCGCCTATCAAATTATAGGCTAGGCTATGGCTCTATGGGTCCCCATTAGAATAGTAGGGGCTCGGTAGTTCTTCATTCAGTTCCCTGCATCGGTAGGACCCCCCGGGACGGTTGGACCCCCGGATGGAGAATACTTTATTGCCCATTCCCCTTACCTCTCAAATAGAGGGGGTATGCGGCCTGCCGATAAAATCCAAACGCCCTACTATTCTATGGGGACTGTTACCATCCAATCAATCGAACAATCCAACATCCTTGGCCCCCCCAACCAGCGAGATCTCCAACTAGAATAAGGAGGGCAGGTCTTGCCTCCCCGGTCCGTCAACCCTATAGAATTGTAGGCATAGAATAGTAGGGCCGCCCTGGCGGGGCAGCTCCAGCAGTGAAGGCTTAGCTCCGGCCTTAGCTCCAGCAGTTAGTTCTTTACACCGGATATAGAAAGTTAGTTGAGGTTCGTTCTGAAGGCTACACGGATGGATAACAAAAGAGGGGGTGTTAAACTAATAACGGTTGTTGCCAGGTAGTTGGCATTCTCGGGGCACTTTCTCAGTCTCCTTGCTGAACACACCCTTCAGGTGAATTCTCCAACTGGGCTGGCTCCCCTCAAATTCTATGGGCTCGGGCTCCAACTATAGTGAATGAGGCTCCATCGGATGGCCCTACTATTCTAAGGGCCATCCCTCACCCCCTAAGAGTCCCATCCAACAATCCATCCCACCCATCCAACTCGTTACTTTCCGCTCCTCCAACCAGTAGAAAGTTATACCTTCCGGTTGCCCCGGCTGCTAATATAGTTCTAGTAGGGACAATCCATCCTGGTGAATGAAGGACGACTACCCTTCCTGGGCGGCTAACTCCCTGCCTCCCAACCGGAGCCTATAATTTATAAGGGGGCGGGTGGTTCATTAACTGGGCTAGCCCTATTATTCTATGGCGAACCTACCTACCTTCTTTCTTGAACCTACCTCCATAGAAACCTTTTAGGGCGGTATAAATGGATGAGGGAGCAGCAGATAGAACATGCTCTAGTTGGGGCACCGGCCTCTCCCCCGTAGAATTGTAGGGCCCTTTATAATAGTAGGGGGCTGGGCCTGGACTTCCGAGAATGAATGAGGCCGGTCGGAAAGAAATAAAGAGAGAAAGGGTTAGCAGAGAGAAAGCATTATTCCCTCACTCACGGTGAAACTAATAAACTCCCCTTTAGAATAGTAGGGCCCCTCCTATCGGAACCTCCAAGCAGGGGGGCCTCTTAACCGGAGGTGAGGGATGGAGCACCCCCGGTGAAGCCTATCTAACCTCCTATCGGAATTGAGCTCTTGAACTCCCTGCCTCCCAACCTCGCCCATAGAATTGTAGGGGAATATATTCTCTACGTAACATGAATAATCTAATAATAGGGGCGGGCCCTACCATGTTACGTATAGAATCAGGCCCCCTTATAATAGTAGGG